GCTTTAATTCTTGCTCACAGTGATCTGTTTTGATCAAAACCTTCAAAGTGTTTCTGTCAAGACCTACGTAGTCTCACTCTGCCCTCCTCCCCAGCTCACTCAGCAAATGCCAAAGGCCTACAAGAACCTACATTATTTGTCCTTTGGGCGCCCACACTCATCCACTTTACCTCTCTGACCTCTCCTCATCCTCCTTTTTCACTCACTCACTCTGCTCTCACCATTCTGGCCTCTGGGCTGTTCCTCAAACATGCCAGGCTGCGCTGGCTGTCCTTCTGCTTGGTGAGCTCTTCCCCTACAGCCTCATGGCTCACCCTCTCATTTCTGTGAGGCCTCCGTTCAAATTCCCCCTTCTCAGACAGGCTTTCTCCTGCCACCCTGCTCATAGTTGGTTCCCACCCACACTACTCCTACCCCTCTGCTTCATTTTCCTTTTTAGCACATCTTACGTCCTTCCTACTTATTTTACTTCCTATTTTGTTTATCATTTTCCTTCTCTTAAATAAAAGCTACACATGATCGGGGATTTTTCTCTCTCCCATTTCCTGCTGGATCTTAGCACCTAGAACCCTGCTTGGCATGCAGTTGGTGGTCAATAACTATTTACTTAATGAATGAAAGAAACGCTGTCCTCTCACTGGGTACTGAAACCACAAAGGCAGGCAGTCAGCAGGAATAGAACACATAGTTGGAATTACTCTTACAGGTTATCCTTTCTATTTGTCATGGTGTCCTAAAGAGGTCTGGCATAGTGTTTTCTGCAAACAAATCAACAATGCAAAAGCTTTCCCTGAGAGAGAGCAAAACTGTTATCTCCATCCTTACTCCTCTGGTTTGTTAGGACATGGGTAAGGATTTTTCCCCCCATTAAAATGTATTTATTTCATAGGCAAATTTTTTCCCATATCTGCCTTACCCTGGCTTTCCGGCCACGGCTGCAAAGCTGAGTATCAGTGCCAGAGGCAACTGATTAGTTTAAAAATACATAACTCTGCTTTAGGCTGGCATCCATTTGTATTTCATTATGAGAGGATATTAAAATGATGCCTTGGACTTTTAACTGTCTACAGCACAGCGCATCTGTCACCCCAGTGCATCCTGACAATCTGCCTAGGAGAGTGGGCGTTATTCCCATTAACAGATAAGGGAGTCAAGGCCCGGGAAAGCTGGTAATACAGGAGACCCTGGGCATGATTTCCTGCTTCTACTTTTGCACTCTTTTTTTTTTTTTTTTTAAATCAGTTTTGGACACGCTGTTGGGATATTGAACATCTGTACTTAATACCCTGTCATGCTGTTTCTTCTTGCTGAAGTTGAACTCTAATAAACTGATAAGCAGGATCCAACTATCCTGTGGTTTTAATTTCTCAGAAAGCTCATAATTTATGAAACTATATTCTTGCCCTAAGTTTTTATCCAGTGGTAATCCAATTTTAGACACACCCCCAACCCATGAGATGCTTTCTAAAGAAAAGTTTTGTCTTCCCTATCAGGTTTTAAATGCCAGGATGTTATCTTTACTAAGTGGCTTAGTAGCCACCCCTCCAAAATAAAATCGTTCCTCGAGGCCCCCGCACCTGGATGTGACTCCCTCCCAGGGCCTCCTGTGGCACCCAGGGCCCTTCTGTCCCACTGTCGTCAGGCGCACTACCCGCTTACCAGCTGCTTCCCTCCATAAAGCCCACATTTCTTTAGAGTGGGATTAATCGTCTCTGTATCCCAAGCAGTTACCGTGGCCCTTGGCACATGGCCTGTTCAATATACGAAGGCTGAATGAATGAATGAAGGAAGGTAGGCATCAAAGATGAATGTTACGGGGGGAGGTAGGGGCTACTTCATTCCTGTTACTGGTTCCCTTCCTTACACCTATGGCCACTCTCCACTCCCTCACCACAGTACAGACTGGAGACAGAAACCGGACTCATTCCACCCCCTCCTCACCTCCCTCACACAGGGAGACAGGTGCTGGCAGGAAGCACACGGCCATCTGGACCTGTATTCAATCATCTCTACCTGGGAGGGCAGACCGTGCGGAGAAAGGCCTGCGGTGGCCCAGCTCTGCCAGGGCTGGGTAGATTTGCCTGTGTAATTCAGAAGCACACTTGCCTAGGGTTATAAATTAAATTCTCTAATAGCAGACGTTAGAGTCTGGTTTCCCATCTCATTTTTTCTTGTATTTTATTTATCAACAGGTTCAGAAATCTGGGTGTGGACAAGGATATTTTGGGGGCGGTCTTAAGTAGTCTTCTCAGTGTGGACCAGTGGGCTCTGGGACTTTTAATCTGAGAGGCTTCTCCGATGCTGCACATGGCAGGGCTCCCGGGCTATCACTGTTATACTGATGAAGGAGGAGGCAGTAAGGCAGTATATGTTGCCGTGAATGAACACGTTATTGTGAATTTGGCAAGCCCAGAAAAGCCCAGAAATGAAGGCCTAAATTTATGATGATAAAAACTTTTCTATGCCATCGGTAGAACATTTTGTTTTGTCTACATTTATAGATTCCTATGATTCAGAAATTACCAAATTACCTATATCAAACTTTGGGCCTCTCAATATTCCCCCTTTCCCAAAAAAGTTTAAACACTGTTCCAATAAACATGTAACCACATGAATTGGATCTTCCAAGGCCTCCTCCACCCCCACAGTTCTCCCCATAATGTTGAAAGAATCTTTGAGGCTGGGCACGAGAGGATGATAAGTATCTTCTTCTACACAAGGCATTTGATTCAACCCAAGGAGTGGAGTCCAGAACTATGGACCCAAAAGGCACGAACCTGATTTAGGTGTTGAGTAGCTCGTACATATTCTAAAGACCTATTTCATCACTACCCAAGCCTGGAGGCTTCCAGTAAGTAAAAGTTTTGACAGATAATACAATGCTCTGGTTTATTTGGTAGTAGTGTTTATCATGGCTGATTTCATATAATCCTGCCAGGTAGGTATTATCACTCATGTTTTACAGGTGAGGAAACTTATATTTGAGGAGAAACTAATAATTTGAAAGGAGGAGTTTTGAGCCCCTATCCTTTGGACTTCAGTAGCTGCACATGGTATATATTTCCATTCTTCTGCAGTGACTCAGGGAAGCCCCATCCCCATTACTGGAATACACGCAATGAATGCATGGAACATTGAATTGATAATGGAAGTGGGGATATGTTTACATAGAGTAGGTAGAATACTGCTCCAAGGGTTTGAAAGCACTGTGTCATTGTCCTGTACAGATAGAGAGAAGTAGAACAGATAAGTGGTACACAGAGGCATGTACAGGAGACAATGAGCATGGGGCTACCAACCCATAAGCCATATCTCCAGTGACTAGATTTTAATAGAGTTTGGGGATGGTTATTTCTCTGGCTTGTTTGAAAATGATACACAATGAGCAGGTCACACCTAGGAGCCTCTGCTTCTCAGGAGCTTTTGTTCTAAGCTGAGCTTTCAGAGTTGTAGACCAAGCCTATCAACAACTTGTTTCCTATGTCCTTGGACACTCAGGATTTTCTCCTTTGTTGAAAAGTGTTGAACGACCTCTTACCAAGACAAGTAAATCTCCCCAAATTTGTCCCTGGACTGTCAATGTTTTTGCTGTAAAACCAGAATCCATGCACATGCCCCTCACTTCTGCATCTATTATCAACTTGAATACATACCAGATAACCCAAAGTTCACTCTCAGATACGTCTCTAAGGGACTCTGGACATTTTGTATTCAGTGTTCCCAGAATTAAATCTAATGAACAGTGTCAACAAAGGCTTTTTGACCCTTTCCCCACTACACCCAAAACTGTTATGCCCCCACCACTGAAAGGGAAGGATGCTGAGAGGCCTGGAGTCATCCTCCACTACACTCATCTAAATGGCTGTCCAATCCCAAAGCTTATGTCCATAAAATATCCCCCTCAGGCTCCTCTCCCTTCAACTTCTATGACTGTGACTGAAGTTCTTAATCTTAACACTTTCTTCCTGGCCTACTCTAACCTTTTCCTCAGCAGGGTCCCTGCGTCCAGTGTCACTTCCTTTGAAGATCTCCCTGAAGACCTCCAATCCTTAGGGCCACACTGTCACAGTTCCTGTCCTTTCCTCCACTCTGATCCCTCTGTAAAGCTTCAGGAAGGGTGCTCATCGCGCCCTTTGCCAAGGTTCGGTAGTCCATTCGTCACCCGGGAACTCTGCCTCCAGTCATAGCTATTTTTTTTCATTATTCCAGGTATACTAAAAGTCAACTTTGTGTGTTCAAGCTATTTCTGTCCCCTTGCCATCTCTGAAATATCAGGAGAACTGTTTTTCCTCTAATTAATCAAGTAAAGATTCCTATCGTCCAAAAAGGCTTTGAACACCTATATTGTCTGATCACATGTTACCAGACTATTCAAAGAAGAGCCAAGTGTTCTTTTCTATTTCTACCCCATTCTACCTTTTATCTCCTTCCCTTGCCAAGCCTAGCCAACCAACTGCCAATGACTACTAGCTCATCAGATCTCTTCTGCCAGGCTCTTACTCGTGGTGAATGTTCAATGGGCACACCTTTGCGATGATACTTTGATCTGAACTTTTTTTTTCTATTTGATGAATGAGGTGTATAACCTTCCTGCTCCTCAAGTGCATTCCTCAGGGACTGTAAGTTACTGGAAGGCAGGGCTTTAAAGAAGTATGAGGAACTTTTTGCTAATGAAAATTCATGCAAGTAGACTTTGTTTGACAATAATGAGGGCAGCATTCAAAGCCACTCAAATAATATGCAAAACTTAATAGTTCATAACTTGATTTTGGTCCTGGGAATGTAGTTACATCATTTTATCTACCCAAACACTCAGTCATGTCCACACCTAGAGTGCTGTTCACTTTGATCTGGTCGTGGCTCTGCAAACTCATGCTACAGCCATTGCTGGGGACCTGTGCCTATCACTAGAGACTATGCAGTGAGGGACTAAGCTTGGGTATGGATTCAAATGCATTGAGCTTCATCAGTGACCGGCGCCTTGTCTCAGCCATACTTACTTGGTGAGGTGGGGGAGGCTGCACCTCCTTCTGTTGATGTGGTTGGAGGCTTTGTGTCTGGCACCGGCAGAGGCACGGGCCTGGCCATCGGTGGTGGCGGTGGCGGTGGCAACATTGGGGTGGGAAGGAATGGGTTGTGCACTTTGCCTTGGCTACTCCCGTTGGGCTACAAGGGTGGGAACAGAACAAAACACGCACAAGAAAAAGAAGAAAGAGACATGAACCGTTAGCTGCCTCTGAAAACAGAAGACTCATTAGGCACCTTTCATGTAAATTACTAAGTATTCTAGCTACATGAATTCTTCCATAAGAGCATACAGATGAAGATTTGTTGGCTTGTTCTTAAGGCATTCCACAAAAGTATAACCTTAAATACACTTGCTGAATGCATCCTAAACTTATTTTTGAATTGCTGACCTTCTTTGCATCTGGTTCCATGAAATAACCTGCCAACTTTTACTTGGAATGTTTCAATTCTGTATGAAATGCTACCTTTGTCATCGTTCTCATGATTATTAAATATTTATTTAATATGTAAGTATTTATAGACTGCAGGATTATTACATCATAGCTATTTATATAGATATAATAAAGTTCCTAAATGTGCATTTGAGATAAAAAGTTTATTTTCATTCCTCAAAGTTGATATTATATAACATTAAATAAATATGTTAAGTGAACATATAACATTTCTTACACATATTGTATAACATCAGGCACAGAAACTTTAGAATTCAGCAGTCAAAATTCTAAGAAAAAAAATTCTAATTTTGATTTAAATTATATTAGACAAGCATATGCCATTAAGAGCTATATTTATTTAGCTACCTAATGTTAGAACAACCAAATAATAGCTCTTTAACAACGAAAGTTTCCCTCTGAAGAAAGAAATACAATCTATTTATTTTCAAATTTTTCAAAATAGTTACATGAGCAGACCTGCCTTATATCCCAGAAAGTTTTGATCAAAATGCAAAACTGGGTATTTGAAAGTTATACGGGATAGTGTCAAGACCATTAAAAAGCAGTTAGAGCCCTGACCAGTATGGCTCAGTTGGCTGGGCATCCTCCTGCAAAGCAAAAGGTCACCGGTTCGATTCTGGTCAGGGCGTTGCCTGGGTTGCAGGGTCAGTTCCCAGAGGTCAGAATGCATATGAAAGACAACCAATCAATGCTTCTCTCTCACATCAATGTTTCTTTCCCTCTCTTTCTCCCTCCCTTCCCCTCTCTCTAAAAATATAACAATAAAGTCTAAAAAAAAGCTAGAAATTTAAAGGTCAGATGCTGGATACTGGTGATCACTTCAGTTTTTTCATGGTTTCCAAAGTGGCCCTTCTGATTCCAGACTTCAGTGATACACTTCAAGCAATAATGAGAGCTTATATTTAGGCTATAGTCCCGAATCAAGTTTCAGTTGAAGGAGATGCTATTGTCCCTGGCTTTTAAGTTTCAGCTTAATAATTCTGCAGAGGCAGACTCACTGCCTCATCAACATTCACTTATATATTTAGTATTGTTCCTCAAAGACTATCTCGTCTGACAATCAGAATGCTATGCTTTCTTGCCAACAAACTTGCCTGTGTGTTATTTCTGAGTGGGCTAAAAGTCCATAAGTGAACTCTTTAGAATAAGCCAAGCAAATGAATACACAAGCAAAAAGAAAAAAGGCACCATATTGATTTGTTGTCTAGACAGAAATGTATCTGCTAACACATCACCAGACATTAGTCAAAGCTGCCTGTTCTGTCTCAGATATGCAGAATCAGGTATTTCTGCAAGGAAGAAAATCAGTGATAGGGCAGCGTGATATAATATTTTAAATTAGGCAATAATAATTATGGCTAATCTGTGGCTTCAAGTGCAGTTATTGGGAGAAAAGGGAAATCACGTTTGGCTTTATGTTGGTGATCATTTACTATTCATTATTATTTTTATTGGCCTTGGGATACAGCCATCCATTGGAAACATTCAGGTCAACATTTGAAATAAAATTTGGGATTTTTAGAAAGTACTTTTTTATTTGGAATATTATTTCAAACTGTGATTGTTTGGGTTTTGTTGAGAAAAAAAATAAAAACATTCATTTGAAACTACTGAATCTTGTTTAGCTTTATACAAAGATAAGTGGGAAAGATAACTACTTGCAGAAATAACAAACCATAATAAACTGTACTTCTAGCATCTTGAGTTCAAGTACTGGTCAACTTGATCTAAAGTGTTAGAAGACTGTATTTTTTAAAAATATCAACTTAGTTGATCTGAAACATCTGTGCCCCCTCATCCCCCTGCCTCTCCCTACCACCCCAAATCATTATTTAAAATTATTTGGTCTTTCTATTTTGTTAACTGTGTGAGCCCTCGGGTTAGTATGCATGAGGTGGAATTATCAGCCCACGGACCTTAGAAGGTTATAGAGTTCACCCTTGAGATGATTTATATCCATAAGCTTGACAGTTGCGAAGTTAACACAAACACTGTTTTTAAACCCTGGCCAATCACTCTCAGAGTAAGTTAACTTTCCCACAATCTAGAATAAATATGACATTTGCCCGCAGTCAGTCAGCACAACATTAGAGCACAATGTCACATGGTCATAAGGTCTCCCCTTGTTATTGTTACATTCGGTTAATATTTCTAAAGAAATCGAAAAGAAAAAGAGGTTTCCTTACATTGAGGAACCCCACCTGTCCAGCCTGCTGACCAGCATCAGGGCAGACAAGTTGGACAAACTCTTTCAGCGTCTCCTGAGGGTGATAGCGGATGGCTGGGTGTGAGAAGTAAGGCCCAGGCTGCTGGATTATGGGTGATGTCGGAAAATGGAGAGTCGATGGTGTTGCATGTGGACTTGCTGTAGGGGAAGAAAACATCAGAGTTAGGAAGACAAAGACATGCTTTGCCACTGCTTTTAAACCTGATTCAGTGCCCCTCCCTTTCTTTCCTGACCCAATTCATAGGATTGCTCACATGACTGAGTTTAACCCTGGAGAGGTCTGATAGATTTCCTTCTTAAGGCTCTAAGACAAACATGGAGGCTAGATTAGGGTAGAGTTTCAAGCTGTCTTTCTATTTTCAGTGGACATGAGTTATAAAGGCATTAATAATCCTTGGTGAAGCTGAAGATTATTCATTACCTTAAGAGCTCTTTTAATGAAGCAAGCAATAAAAAATGTATTTGGTAGATGAGACCTGATTTAACTGACATTACATATGACAAATTCTAGTTTGCACATATGGACCCCCTTTCATGCTGAGCTATCCATAGACAATAATTCATTGTTAAAGCTCTAATATCCCTTTCAAGGAAATTTCTAGGGACTAATTCAGGATGAAATTTTTTTGAAGTATGTAGTAAATGATCACTTAATGAACCTGTACAATTTGGATGCCTCACTTTACATGGAAGGTTTATGTCACTTTTTTTTTTTTTTTTTTTTGCTATTCAAGCCAAATTCAGAAGTGCACAGTGTTAGAGCAGGAGAGCCCACAGGCTGAGTAGACAGTGACCCCTGCTAAACTGTTGGCCCTTTGTGCATAGGGACTGATAAAAGATCCAGAAAATGATTACTCCCTTGTATCTGAACACTGCTAAATTTTATTGGTACAAAAAGAAGCTAATATTAGATATAAAAACTTATGTGAGGTGCTGAATAATTTTTCTGAGAGAACTTCTGCCCTTGAGTTGGAAGGGTGATTGATAAAACCCGCTGCAGTTTAAGAGCAGCCCATGGGGAGGGCTGGAGACACTCAGAGCAAGGAATGCCAGGCGAGCTGCTCTCGCTTCTCAATGAGGGCCAGAGAAACAGCTGAGGAGAGTATTTATCTTTTCTCACTTTTCTTTAAACTCAAGGAACCCCTGCAAAGAGAAAACAAAGGAATATTCCAAATTTTGGAGAATAAAATTTTCCTAATATTGAGAGTGACTCATAAGATGGAAGAGAAACCTGAACAAGGCAGGCCATGCTTTCTGCCCCTCTCCCACTGGCGTGGCTGAGGACTGTGGGCCCCCAGGGACTCCCAGCTGTGGGTTCTTTGTTCCTTACTGGGAAAGCTTTAGGATTGTGGGATTTTCTAAATAATAATGGGAATGGCTAGGATTTCCAGGTTCAGGATGACATCTGTAGTTTTTAAAGAGTGGAAAGGTGGGTTGGGAGTAGAAGCCAACAGTCCAGCCCATGTCTTGCAGATGACCTGATGGGATCCTTTCATTCATGCAACCTTTAATTTATCCAGTAAGTATTCACAGGCTCCTACTTTGGGCTTGGGATACAGAGCTGAGCCAACACAAAGTTTTGTCTTCAACAATTGAGGGCATCTTGAACATAACCTATTCCAACCAGAATTCTTGTCACCTTCCATCCTCATACCTGCTCTTCTCCCAGTTTTCCTCATCTTAGTAAATAGATTTTTCCCATCACTTTAATGTGTTACTGTCATATCCTCAGAACATTTCTAACAATTAATATCTACTGATGGAACAATGAATAATTGAAACCATGAGTGGTACAGAAATTAATAAAATCACCATGCAATTAAATATGAACTTAAAATTTTTTTTTTTTTAACCTGCCAAAGACCCAGGGAGCTTATAGACAAACTGATCAAACTTAGGACTTCATTCAATGAATGATAAATCTTGGGATCTGTATAGCCTCTAAATTAAAAGCCACAAACTAAAAAGTTAATTGGCTCTGGTCATCTTTTACTCTGCAGTTGTGCAGTGTAAAAGAACCAAAGGAATTTTTTACATCTGATATGGTATGTTCTAACTTGCTGGTGGCAAGACACTTTGACCCAGGGCCCTGCATTTGACTCAATAGTTTTTAGTTAGGGATAGAACATGACATTTTCCAAATGAGGCTGGGAATGTACTGAGCATAACAACTTTTGCAGCATGTAAATGACAACAGTGTCAACTCCATTGCCAAGAGCCCCTGGGAGCAGACCTTAATGATAAAGTGGCAATGCTTTAGGTGCTCAATACAAAGTGATGAATGATGGTTAGATTATGAAATCGTAGTGGCCAACAGAGAATGATGCCCAATGGAATTCACTTGAGCAAAGATCGAGCAGATCAGAGTTAATGAAACTTGATAGAGGAAACAATTCAATAGGATCTTGGAATCCCTCTCCTCACCCTCTTTTTGTTGTTGTTAAATATGTTAAAAAAAAATGATTAACAACTTAAATTTAGACCTCAGTTTCTTTGTTATATTTTACTTAAGACAATTTATTCACCTTTTCCTTGTGGCATAGAGTTTATTTTAACACAAACCCAAGAATACATGGTACTATATGGAATTGATTTTACAATGACTAATTTATAAGAATCAATTAATTCTTAATTAATATCAGGAAGTCATTTAGCCTATAGATTCAAATCAGACAACTGCTGAGTCTGCATTTCAAAGGGTCATCTTTCACAACCTCTACTTTCTCATGCCGCACACTTTCTAGTTCAGCCATTAGGTCACTGTAGAACTGGATATGAATCATTCAAGATTTGGAGCTTTAATTTCTTCAAACAGAAAACAGTGTTAAAGGCACTGCAGAGTTCTGTTAAGTATGATTAAACATATGCTATTTTTCTGGATAACCTGCTAGTAGTGCTCTCCTCCTGAACAAGGAGAGCCATGGTTCCTCCATTGCTCTAAAGCTCAGACTTAAGATTTCAACATGGTCTAAATTTGTTTTTACTTCTATCCCATTTCTTGTTTTCTCCTTTTTATCTTGGATTAGATGTTTTTAGTGTCCCTAAGTATTTGTCCAAATAGTCTACAAGTATTTTAGGAAGTGTCGAAGGGGTTAAACAAATCAATCACTCAATCAGTAAAATTCATTAAATGTGTTCTGAGATTGTCATATCAGGGCCTATAAAAGGGAAACTAGCATTATGAATCTGGCATGGTGCTAATGCCATGCACAAACAATGGTGTGAGTCCAAATTTTTGATGGAGAAAAACATTTCTTATGGATGTGTGTGTGTGAGTAGTTGACACAATAAAAAATTATAGCACATTATGTAAATGCATATTTAGAGCCTTTAAAATGTGCATTATTTACTTGAGAGTCAATAAAGGCTTTTCTCAAGTGGTTACGGTTTATTGCAGTGCATCCATCTGTATCCATGTTGATGTTAATACAATTTTGTGTATTAAAAGGCACTACAAAATTGGCTGCTTCTGGGGTCTAATACGCTTAGTACCCTAGGCCAGGAGCAGCAGAGTGTCAGAAACACTCCCCTCTGGATGGGTCTCACCACTGGTTTAAACTTTAACCACAGGCCAGACTTGTTTAAAACTGCTTGGGCTTTTCACAGGGAATACAAATAAGATGGGAAGGAAGAAAATTAGATTAGGTTTCTTGGCTGGAATGGCACTACCTACATATTCTGAACAAAGTCGCCACAATTAAAGAAACAGAGAACCAGAATTTCCCAAAGGGTGTAGGGCTGGGTTATTTACTACCAAATGATCATATTACTTGATACTTAGTACAAAAAGAAAGCAGGTCAGGCAGATTAATTTACTTGTTTGCACTCCTGCACCCCAATTCTTTAAAATGCTCTCTTGCTTTTAGCTTGCAAGAGACAATTTTAAAATGTAATACAACTTAACATATAAATATTTAACTTAAAAATGCTTCCTCCTTTAAAGTAGAACTGATTAAGACTGGGGGAGGAGAAGGTCAAGGTCATTAATATATCACTGTGTGCTGAGAGACTTGGAAGATCCAACTAGTGATTCTTAGTCTGAGAGCCCACTGCATGGCGGTTATATGAGTCTTCAGACACATATCGTAGCTAGCAGATGATGCCAGGGAGGCATGGCCAGAGGAGTTTGGAACCTTGTATTTCATTCTACATCTTAGGAAAGAAGTAGAGAAAGAAAACAATCCCCCCTTACCATTTTCAGGGGTTTTGCCCAAACTCAACCTCCAAGAATTGCAATAAGCCTCTCACATTTTTCCTCAAACTAAAATTTCACAGGTTGAAATATGTTATTCTGTTTAACCCTGACATTGTCTTAATTGCTTTATCCCTTGTCTGGGAGCCATTGTAGATTCTCACAGATTGGACAGAGACATGGATTCTTTTCACGTTGGTGTTTGTTTCCCAGCATCATCTCTTAAATCCTCGTCTTTGTGCTATTGGCGGCTCCAGCAAAAAGCTGTCCAGAGAGTGGCACAAACGATAAGGCCTGGTTCCCCTTCAGGTGCAGTGTGTTCTTACGGCGGTGCTACACAAGGCCTTCTTCGCTCCCAGGACGGAATGATCAATCCTGAATTCTGCCATTTGCAAAACTTCACAGTCTTACCATTAACCAACACCGCGCCAGTGGCAACAGGCGAGAGGTCACACTGCTTCTCTCTGTTAGCACTGTTACGAGAAAAAGCGACTCATCTGTCTTCAGCAAGAAGATGTTCTTTAGACTCAAATAACCATTTCCATAGAGTAAAAGGTGGCATTGAGAACTCCTGACTACTTTATATTTAGAAGTAAAGATTGTAATAGGGCAGAGCTCTAAAAGAAGAAAGTGGAAGAAAAAAAAATGCACTTAAAAAAAAAAAGCCTTCCATAAGGCCAAATGGAACTTCAATCGTTTGGGTTGTCAACTACTATGTACTTTGCTTCTTCAGAAATTCAAAACCACAATGTATAACACCATTATAGCCTACCTAAAGCTGAGAAATCTATCTTAATGGTCCATAGCTATCATTTATAAATCATGCATGAGTCAGACCTGCCACTTATGAAAGCTTAGAAGTTTAAAGTTATGGGATTTATTTTAACAGAGAGACAAGGAAAGAGGAATTGGCAGTGGGTTTCAAAACTTTAGGAGGCAGAACCTT